TAGGAAAGAAGGCTGCATCCGCACTGCAGACATAATCCAGTTTGACGCCACTTTAACTGCCCTGGCTCAAGGCTATCAAATTCTGGGAACTGGAGTTTTGTGACACCTTTAGCCTTCTCTGTCAGGAAGCTCTGGTGTCCCAACAAACTGCAAAACCCAGAACACCATAGCATTGAGCCATGGCAGTTAAAAGTGGTGTCAAAGTGGATTATTTCTTCAGTGTGGATGCAGCCGAAGGCAGATTTTCATGGTTTGTATGGAACATCTGCAGTGATTCTGAAACAGGCATTATTTGGTGGCTCTCGTTCAGTAGGACAATGGATCCGATTTGGGTATAGGTCCAAATTTTCAAAGAATTATCCAAGGTCCTCAACCTATTTGAGAGAGATGGTTCAGCAGCTTGGACAGCAATAATAATAATAATAATAATAATAATAATAATAATAATAATAATAATAATAATATCTTATCTGTCTTTCCCCAAGGCTCAGAGCGGCTTACAATATAGATTCTAGTTTGCTGTAGCACCAGAGCTCTCTGACAGAGAAGGCTAAAAATCTCACTAAACTACAATTCCCTGAGTGCCATAGTTTTGACTTATGGCAGTTAATGTGGTGCGAAGCTGGATTATTTCTGCTGTGCAAATGAATTTGTAACCTTTCCGTGTTTTCCCTTTTATTTGCTGTCTTAACAAAACCAAAACCAAATCTGACAGAGAGGGATTTGAGAAAAACATCGTCGTTCCACAAATGTTGATGAAACACAGCTCAAGATAATAATAATAATAATAATAATAATAATAATAATAAAGTTAAATATACCTGCATCTGATGGTGGTTGGTGAATCTGCTCTGGGTTTTGAAAGCACTATTCAAAGTGCAAAATTTTATTCCTAAAATAGGCTCAGCACCCTGGATTGGTTGCTGTACGCCCCCAAGTCATTTTTTATTTTTACTTATGGCAAATTTAAGGAGAACTTCTCATAGGGTTTTCTTGGCAAGTTTCTTCAGAGGGGGTTTATTGTTGCCATCCTCTGAAGCTGAGAGAATATAACTTGCCCAAGGTCACCCAGTGGGGTTTTATGCTCAAGTGGGGATTTGAACCCTGGTTTCCAGAGTCGTAGTCCAATGCTTCTTTAAAACCAAGGCTGCATTTATCAGTCCACTGACATGGAAGACATCATGAACATGAAAGACATCACCTGTCCCAGATTTTACCGAAGTCATAGTTGTCTTCTCTTCCACCTAAATAGCTGGTTTCTCCTTTTTGCTAGGATCACATTGGAATTGTTCAATAAAGTGGGATTTATGATATAATTGGTATAACACTGTGCAATATGTCTAATGCATCACATTGCATTGCTACAGCTGTAAGTGGCCAGTTAGGCTGAAAAAAAAATGAGATTGCTTTTGTGTGTGTGCGTGTGTGTGTGCGTGTGTGTGTGTTTGACTTGCCCTTGAGTTGGCCCTGACTTATGGCTGCCCTGTCGATGAGACATCTCCAAGAAGTCCTATCATCCACGTCTCCATTTAGGCCTTGTAAATTCAGGCCCATGACCTCCTTAATTGAGTCTAACCATCTGACATGCGGTCTTCTTCTCTTTCTACTGTCTTCCACCTTCATGCCTTCTCATGATATGGCTAAAGTAGGATATCCTCAGTTTCATAGAACCATAAACCTAGAAGAGACCATAAGGGCCATCCAGTCCAACCCCCCTGCCATGCAGGAACTCTCAATCAAAGCATACCCAACAGATGGCCATCCAGCCTCTCTTTAAAGACATCCAAAGAAAGAGACTCCACCAAACTCCGAGGGAGTGAGTTCCACTGTCGAACAGCTCTTAGTCTCAGAAAGTTCTCCCTAATCTTTAGGTGGGATTTGTTTTCCTGTAGCTTGCATCCATTGCTCTGTATCCTATTCTCTGGAGCAGCAGAAAACAAGCCAGCTCCCTCCTCAATATGACATCCCTTCAAATACTTAAATAGGGCTATCATATCACCTCTTAACCGCCTCTTCTCCAGGCTGAACATATCCAGTTCCCTAAGTGTTTAAAAAAGTGATTTCCCCCCGATTATCCCCATGTGATAAAGTGAAATGGTTGCTCCAAGGTGTGGGAACTCGTTTAACTATTTCGATTTCTTCATTATCTAGGTTGAATTTATATAGATCCTCCATGGTAATTATTTTTGTTTTCTTTGTGTTCAGCAGTAGGCCTGTTGAACTGCTCTTATGTTGTTGTTTTTTGGTGTAGGACACCACTTAGCTTGGGGATTTTTTTTTAAAGGACATGTATTTTTATTTGTAGTTTACCTGCAATTTTTGCCTAAAGGATACATTTTTGCAAGCAGTTTTCCTAATATGCTATTAAAATGCAAGTGCACAAACAATACACACACACACACACACACACACATGCACTTTCTTCTAATAAATTCACATCTTTATACATTTGTAAATCGGAGAGCTCCCCTGTAAAATTCAGAGAATGTGAATTTCAAAAGATGAGTAACTTTCACTTTGCATATGGGTTCATCAGTGCAACATTCAAAGAGTTTGCATCATAATTCAACCCATGCAAATTTCTCCTTCAGTTGTAGTAATGATAAGTTCTCTCGTGCTTTCTCTCTGGGTATCTGTTTCTGTGAAGTCAAAACTGAGAAAGGAAATGAGGCAGGAAATGACAGAGATGACACAGGGATGCTGTGCTATTGTTAAGTGCCA